TTCGACACATATTCTCCTCCATCATCAGTTCTCAAAACTTTGAGCTTTCGACCACTTTGTCTTTCGACCATGGACTTGAACTTGATAAATACTTCGAACACTTCACTTTTCTTCTTGATCAGGTAAGTCCATAGCTTTCGACTGAAATCATCTATAAATGTAACAAAGTATTTGTTACCTCCCATCGAATCCACCTGGATTGGTCCACATACATCAGAGTATATGACTTCGAGATTAGCCTTCGATCTGCTTCCTGCATCCTTGCTGAAGCTGTTCTTGTGTTGCTTCGCCTGCACACATTCTTCACATACTTCGTTTGGAATGTCAATTTCAGGCAATCCTGAAACCATATTTCTTCTCTTCAAATCTCTGATGTCTCTAAAGTTGAGATGACCTAGTCTATAATGCCATATCCATTCATCTCTGCTAGCTGCAGTCGAAAGGCACTTGTGCTCCATCACATTTAGTTCAATCTTGAAGGTTCGATTCTGAGACATAGGAGCCTTCAAGATTACTCTCCCATTTGCATCAACAACTCTCATCAACTTATCTTCGATTGACACTTTATAATTCTTTTCGACCAACTGCCCTATACTGAGCAAATTGCTCTTCATGCCTGGTATGTACAATACATTCGAAATTACTGACTTCTTGCCATCTTTCCTCATGATCATAACATCACCAATACCTTCAGCTGCTAGGGTGTTGTCATTTGCAAATTTTACCAAATTTTTCGTTGAGGGTTTTATGTTGACGAACCAGTCTTTCCTTCCAGACATATGTGATGAACATCCTGAATCCAAGTACCATTGGTCCTTGAATATATCTTCATCTCTTGTTGTGACCATCAGCATCATCTCTTCTTCTTCTTCTTCTTCATGTTTTGCCAGCTTTGCATCACTTTCTTGATTTTTTCGTTTTTCTGGACAATCACTCGAATAGTGACCATACTTCTGACAATTGTAACATTGAATGTGACTCTTATCAGGTTTTCGACCACCACCTCTTCCTCTGTTTGCAGCACCACCTCTTTGGTTGCCTTGGTGTGGTCTTCTTTGATTCGACACGTCTCCTTCGATTTGGTTTCCTCTGCCATTCGATTTGTTGTAGCCACCTCTACTTCTGTCGAAATACTTTCCTTTGCCTTTGGTCTCTTTTGCTGAATGTGCCTGCAAGGCCACATCACTCTTCGATTTTCCTGCAGCTCTTTCGTTCATTCTTTGTTCATGGGATTCGAGCGTCCCTTGAAGCTCTTCCTTTGTCAATTTCGACAAGTCTTTCCCTTCTTCTATCGCCACCACTATGTGGTCGAACTTAGGGGCTAAGGATCTCAGAATCTTCGAAACAACAGCTCTTGTTGTTAATGTTTCTCCACATGTCTTGATTTGATTCACTAGTTTTGTAACTCTAGTGAAGAAATCAGATATGTTTTCACTGTCTTCCATCTGAAGCAGTTCATAGGTCCTTTTGTGAGTTTGTAACCTCACTTCTTTCACCTTCTCAGCGCCTCCAAAAGACTTCTCCAGGATCTCCCAAGCTTCTTTTGCAGATTCTGAATCACCAATCTTCTCGAAATTGTCTGGACTGACACATTGATGAATTATAAACAATGCTTTATAACTCTGTTTCTCAGGTTCTGTATATTTCTTCTTTTCTTCTTCTGAAGCGTTTTCTCCAAGCGCTTCGACTCCATCTTTTACAAGGTCCCAAAGGCCTTGACACCTTAATAGGACTTTCATCTGCTTGCACCAATTTTCATAGTTGTCAACTTTCAGAATTGGCAGCGTTGCTGGATAGTTTGCATTCCCATAACTTGTCATCGTGAATTCTTCAATCGTTCTTGATTGATACTTCCCTTGAATCGAAACACAAGCTCTGATACCAGATGTTGGAAATCCACCAATACTCTATGATGAATTTCAACCACCACTTGATGATAAGTTATGAAACAAACAAATAAAAGAACAATGAAGATATTTCTGCAGAATTTCTATTCTGCCCACAAACTGTGGAAACTTTATTATTCACTTTGCAACTGCAAAATACTGTGAATGAGTTCAATGACTTGAATACAAAAATAAGGGTTACTCCCTCTTATTTATAGATTTAGGTTAGCTTGCTCCCTAAGCTAAACCCAAGCCCAAAATATCTCTTTACTAAATCAAATCTAATCTAGATTTAAATTCAAATCTATTTAAATCTAAACAAATCAAATCTTCTTTTGACACTTATGAATTACAATTTAACAACCTTAAGATTATAGGTGAGTGAGTTCTTCCATTTATAAATATTTAAATCATCATATTTCTATTTAATGTGAGACTATTTTCCCACTTACTCACTTGCATTAGTATTCTAAAATTTATAAATAAATTTTAACATTTTATATTTATTGAATAATTAATATATCTAGTTTATATAGACCAAATACGTCATTTATTCGATCAATTTTTATTTATTTATAAAAGAGAATGGAAATAGTATGTTAAGTACAATTACAAAATAAGAGTTTGTCAAGTTACCCCTAATCTTTCATTATATATGATTAGGGTTAGTTTTCATCTGCGTAAATCCGGTTTAATTTTCAATTTATGTATATCCACGTTTACTATTTCTATTTAGTATTCCATTTCCACTGATTATGTATATCCACTACTACTATTTGCAAGAGTACTTAAAATTGATAGTCCCAATTGTATTTTGGTTATTTTCCGGCTCATTCATGAAAGCTTGTTAAATGCCTTTTGATTATTTTCCAAGGCATATTTGCAAGGGGTGCTTAAAATTACTTACAATATTTTAAAACAAAGAGAATGTGGAAAAATAAAATGATTAATTATTATGATGTAGAAAAATAAAATAATTAATTATTATGATTTTAAATTTTAATATTAAAATATTAAAATTTATTTAAGGTGAATCATAGGAAACAATTCAATTGTCAGGAATCAAAGACTAGAAAACTTTATGAAGACCTAATGGATTTTATTCTGATTTATTAGGTATATTTTGCAAGGGTGATTAGTTCACCAAGTTTTCAATAGTCTCAATCTTTTTGGTCATTTTGCAGTAGATTACTGAAAATTTAGGAAGTTTTCACGGTTAATATATATATATATATATATATATATATATATATATATATATATATATATATATATATATATATATATATATATATATATATAGCTGATTTATTTGTTATTTTTCAAGTATTTGTTAATATATTTTTAATATAAGAATTTTTAATCACCTATATAATTACATGTTAACCCTAAATCGTTATTGTCTCTTGGTTTTAATTTTCCATTTTTTATGCAAGTTATTATAGTTATTTTGTAAGTATTTCTTTATCTCAATGAACTCTTAGCTTAAACGATGTTTACATTTAATTTCTTAGCGTATTCATGAAATAATAATTAAATTTTCATAGTCTAGTCTTTAAATGGTGAAGGTGCAATTTAGCAACATAGAGTAACATGTAGTATGTTGCATAATAAAGAAATTATAGAGTAATATTTTTTTTATCAAAAAAGATATTCATTCATTCAAATTGATAAAATATATCGATTATTATAAATTTAAGATTGTTAAAAACTAAAAAAAAGATGAATCTCCAAACAATTTTGCAGCATCTAAGTTAAAAACATAAAACGGTAATAAAAAAGTGCTTACAAATATGACAAAATAAAAATAATCAGAATATTTATATTTTCAAATCTGCAACATTGACGCAGTCTTTATCAGATCTGTAATTAGTTGAAGTGAAAATGCCAATTTAAACTAATGAATACCATTCTGAGATAGAAAAATCAATAAACGTCCCACAAAATAACGAAAACTAAAAACATAAAAAAGAAGAAGCAAAATCTATATGAATAACCACTTATTTAAATAACAAGAAAAAAAAACATTGTTGAAAAGTGATTTCAAATCAAAAATGACAAAATATCATCACTACAAAAAATAAATAAAAAGAGAAAAAAATTCAAAGAATTATATCATAGAGTAACATTACATATCGGAGAAACCATATATAAATAATATATTTAGTAAATTAGACTTTTCACATAATTATCTAAGATCAAGCTAATTATGTCAACAGAAAAATACAAAGAAAAAATTAAATACTTTTATCCAACAACAATAAAAAACAAATAGTTATATAAAAACGATGGTTAGAATCTCACTATTCCGAAATATGTCCCTACTCGAGCATGATAAAAAAAACAAAGTAGATAAATTATAAATTAATTTAATATAAAAAATAGTGTATTTGTGATCTTCATAAATATATCATATTTCATTTTTAATCTCTTAACAAATTTGTATTAAATAATTGTTTTCTTAAAATTGTTTACCACATTTTTAGTCTGCAATTTAACGACAATTTTTTAGAACTTAATAATAAAATTAATTATTTTAACGATGATGTCAATTTAATGATAAAATTAACGACGATTTTAACTGAAAGAATTAAAAGTGTGAATGTAAATTTTTAAGAAGACTATTATTTCAAAAAAAAATTATAAAAATTAAAACCAAATTTAAATTATTTATAAAAAACAAAACATATATTTAACTCTAAAATATAAAAAATAAATTTAAATAAAATATGATTATATATATTATTTAAAAAAGTGGCAACAAAACAAAGATAAAAATAAGAAGCAATGTTAAAAAGAAATTTTACAATATGTTAAAACAAAGAGAAGGTGGAAAAATAAAATAACTAATTATTATGAGGTAGAAAAATAAAATGACTAATTATTATGTTTTTTTTAATATTCATTGAAATTAGTTAAATCATTAATGTAGTAATGTTTTAAATAATTTTGTAGAACTAAAACATAAAGATTAAAAACAATTTATAGGGATCAAAACATATTTAACGAAAAAAAAGTTGGTCCTGTTTCAGTTTCTTCTCTTTGTTGAATCTTGACTCTTGTTCTTCCTCTTCATTTTCACGATAACTTTCTCTCCATTATATCATTCCTACCATGCGGAGATTCTCACGTTTCTTCCACAAACACAATCTTTTCAACCTTCCATTGAGAAAATCATTTCAAATTACCCAAGAAAATACCATATTACACCACCTCTTCTTCTCCACTAATACCTTTCGGGTTACTTCCTCTCAACCCTCTTCACACTCATCACCAACACCAAACCCTAAACCCCGAATATTTATAAGAAATTACCAATTCGGTCTCGTTCACCTTGAATCTATTACAAACAATCTCAGTGATCAAAACAACGACGAGTTTGCTTCCGATGTAGAAAAGATTTACAGGATATTGCGTAAATACCATTCTAGGGTTCCCAAATTGGAGCTTGCTTTGAAAGAATCTGGAGTTGTTGTTAGGTCTGGATTAACAGAACGTGTATTGAATCGTTGCGGTGATGCTGGGAATTTAGCTTATAGGTTTTTTTCTTGGGCTTCTAAGCAACCAAGTTATAGGCCTAGTCAAGATGTGTATAAGGCTATGATTAAGGTTTTGAGTAAAATGAGACAGTTTGGTGCTGTTTGGGGGTTGATTGAGGAAATGAGAGTGGAGAATCCTGAGTTGATTTCCCCGCAAGTGTTTGTTATTTTGATGAGGAGATTTGCTTCTGCTAGGATGGTTCATAAGGCTATTGAGGTGTTGGATGAAATGGTTAAGTATGGTTGTGAGCCTGATGAATATGTTTTTGGGTGTCTTTTGGATGCATTGTGCAAGAATGGTAGTGTTAAGGAGGCTGCTTCGCTTTTTGAGGATATGAGGTATCGTTTTCCGCTGAATGTTAAGCATTTTACTTCGTTGTTGTATGGTTGGTGTAAGGAAGGGAAGCTTGTGGAGGCAAAGCATGTGTTGGTGCAAATGAAGGATGCGGGGATTGAGCCGGATATTGTTGTGTTTAATAATTTGCTTGGTGGGTATGCTCAAGCTGGGAAAATGGGGGATGCTTATGATCTTTTGAAAGAGATGACAAGAAGGGGATGCGAGCCGAATGCAGCGTCGTATACTGTTTTGATCCAGTCGTTATGTAAACATGAAAAATTGGAGGAGGCCATGCGGATGTTTGTTGAAATGCAGAGAAATGGTTGTGGGATGGATGTTATAACATATACGACATTGATAAGCAGGTTTTGCAAGTGGGGGAAAATCAAAAGGGGTTATGAGCTTTTGGATCAGATGATACAAGAAGGGCATGCGCCGAATCAGCTGACTTATTTGCATATCATGGTGGCTCATGAAAAGAAGGAAGAATTGGAAGAGTGTATGGAGCTTGTGTCTGAGATGCAGAAGATTGGTTGTGTTCCTGATCTTAACATCTATAATACAGTCATTAGGTTGGCTTGTAAGTTGGGAGAGGTCAAGCAAGGTGTTCGGCTTTGGAATGAAATGGAAGCGAGTGGACTCAGTCCGGGTATCGACACCTTTGTCATCATGATTAATGGGTTTATTGAGCAGGATTATCTAGTTGAAGCTTGTGAGTATTTCAAAGAAATGATTGGGAGAGGGCTTTTTGCTGCTCCTCAATATGGTACTTTGAAGGAGTTGATGAATTCTCTTTTAAGAGCCGAGAAGCTTGAAATGGCTAAAGATACTTGGAATTGTCTCACTAGTTCTAAAGTTTGTGAGATGAATGTGAGTGCATGGACAATTTGGATTCATGCACTGTTTTCAAAAGGACATGTGAAGGAGGCTTGTTCATTTTGTATAGACATGATGGATAACGATTTAATGCCACAGCCAGATACTTTTGCAAAGCTTATGGGTGGTCTGAAGAAATTGTATAACCGAGAATTCGCAGTTGAAATCACTGAGAAGGTAAGGAAAATGGCTGCTGATAGACATATCACTTTCAAGATGTACAAACGGAGAGGTGAGAGGGATTTGAAAGAAAAGGTAAAGGAGAAAAAAGACGGAAGGAAGAGGAGGGCTAGACAGCGCCGTTGGGGTGGAGGCCAACAAAAAGCATTATAATTTTCAGGATTCAAGTTGAAGTTTCACATGCAACACATAGGTTTTTCCTGGGAATCTGATTTCTGCTTCACAGTTGGTTAAGTAATTCAATTGAATGGAAATTAAGTGGTGTTATTGGTTTTGACTTAAGGAGAGATGAGCATAACTAGATGGCAATAGAGTAGCTGCTTCTTTCTTTAAGGTATCAACTGATTAACTGGTCAGAATAGTTCTGGCCTTTGTAGTTTCTAATCTACTACTTTGTTCATTTTTAGTAGTTGTTTTTAAGGTTATTTACACACAACCATAAAGCTAATAAATTTTGTAACTTTAGATAGAATTATTTGTCTATTTCTAATAGTACCTTTAATTATTTAGGGTATGTTTGGATCGGTGAAACGTGATTGAATGGTCATGGAATGGAGTGGTATGTAATTGAATTCCATTGTTTGGGTTTACAAATAATGGATAATGGTACAAGATAGAACCCATTCCATCCTATTCCATCTAATCCTTCAATTTTTATTTCTCCCAATTTAGGGTGTATGCTATGGAATGAACTAATTTGTTCTCTTCCGTTCCGTCAAATTATAAAAAATACACAAATAATGAAATGAAATCTTTGCTCCATTCCATCACGTTCCATTCCACTGTGCTCCGTACTAGTCCATCAATTCAAACATAGCCTATCTCATTTCACCTATTTATCTCTGTAATAACTAGTTAGCAATTTTTTTATTTACAAAATAGCAGTTAATACTATTTTGAACTTAGAAAATGATAAATAAAAAGGAACAAATTTTTGTAAGAAAAAGACACCTAAAAAGGAATAGAAGGAGTTCTAAAGATTTTTTTTTTTACTATTTCAGGTTGAAGTCTCCCTTTCAGATTGATCCAAGGGCTTAGGTAATGTGATCAGTTTATTGTTCAGTAAGCACCCATTTCACGGTTTTTATCTATTAAGAAGAGAGGTCTTCAGGATGGAAATTGTGTTTGCAGTTATTTATAGTTCTACTTAAGCTTAACAAAGTTCGAAACTAGAATGCTCCTTCTTGACACAGCGTTATGTACCGGAAATCCTATTGGATGAAACAAATACTTTTTAGAAGAGACAATGAAAGTGGCAAAGGAAATGGTTAAATGTGCCAGGGGATTCAAGACATTGTCCTGCTTGTTTTATGATGTGGTATAACTTATTCCTTTCACCATTCCCTACTTATTTATGTCCGCGCAAAAGAGGAAGACAGAGTACAGGAAAAATTTACATGTACAAATGTACTAGCCATGGTTAGAATATTTGCAGAAAGTTCCACTTCTACGAGCACATCTTAATATTTTCATTGAAAAAGTTCCTCCTGTTTCTGCAGAAGGTATGAGTAAGAAGGAGATACATTTGGAATTTTTCGTACTCTTAGGGATATTATGCTGGTGATAGTTTGACTGTGTACTATTAGATTCAAAATATACATTTTCCACAAATTATATTGAAGTTTGATGAAGGATGAAAGGCATGTTCGTGTCATTGAGTAAGAATTAGAAGGTGTATATCAAGTTAGCATACACAATTTTTCTGGGGCTATGGTTTCTTTTGTCATATATTTATGTATTAATATTATAGATATGTGCCTGTCCCTTTAACTCTGCTGTAATATTTTTAGTTTATTCATATTTCTATAAGCTGTTGTCTATATTGATCAATCATTTCCATTACTGTCAACAACCCCAAGCAAGTTGTGATATGTTTTACTAGATCATAAGTTCCTTTGAGAGTTTCGAATAACTTTCTAAACATAAAAAAAGTTTAAAGAATAAAAGCGTTCTGTTACATATTATTATCATCAAAAACAAAACTACAGGCCATTGTTAAAAACACTTAGGGACCTAAAACATATTCCGATGCCGGGAATCGAACCCGGGTCTCCTGGGTGAAAGCCAGATATCCTAACCGCTGGACGACATCGGAATTGTTGATGAGTTATCATGATATGTTTTTAAATAGCTACTCTTATTGTGTGACAATCATGTTACGTTACTCGATCTGTAAGGTATCCCTTCAAGTATAAACTTCAAACTCATGTTTTAATATTTACTAATCTTCAACTAAACATATTAATTAAGGAGCTTCATACCTTCATTATTTTTTTTCTGTCAGTTGATATTTATTTATTTGTTTGAAATTTTTATTTTCTAGGAAAATAACTTTTCTTGACAGAGACTTTTAAGAGTTTTTTATGTTTGATCTTATTTGAATGAGGTTCTTCAGCATGGAGACTTTTTGGCACACAAGCATGTAGATTGGAGTCAAATTTTAAGACCTATCTATCTACGTTTAACACTATGTCCTTAAGTAATAAAAAGTTACTTATTTTACAATTTTAATTTTCATTCTACCATACAATATTTGATGTTGAAAAATTTATGCTATTTTCTGATTTCTTTCAGGTGGAGTTTATTGAAATGTAGATGACATGTGACACTTGCCAGAGCCTAGAAGGTGTTGTGGAAAATAAAATATAACTGAAATATTGATTAATAATTTTCTATTTTGATTTTTTTCTTCAAGTGATAATACTAATGGAGAAATCATGTCTCTTAGCTATGAGTTTTTTAAATTAAGAAATTCAATTAAGTTAAACATAATGATGCAGAGATAAAAATGTGCAAATGTTTGTTTGAGTGGTTATATGTCGAATTTTTTTTACAAGTAAAGATATTTATACAAATATTTCTCCTACCGGATTAAACATTGACTATTGAATTTATCGTCACTTGAATAATAATTATGTATATGGTGGTGTTTTTTTTCTGTCTTTCTATTCCTCTTGTTATACCTTCTTTTGCCCTAGGTTCGGCCTCTACTATTCTCTTTCAGAATATTTTTCATAGCTCTTATTCACGCGCGTGTTATCTATCTCCTTTGAACGTGGTTTCGTGTCAATAGCTATTTTGGTTAGAGGAGCCATAAATAAAGAATACGAGTAAAATAACAAATCGTCAAATTTCAATAAATTTTAATTGAGTTTAATGTTGAAAGTATAATTTCTTATGCCGAAGCAATTTGTTCGACAGAAAATAAAGAAGTGTTGAAAAGATTGAGTCGAAGTGTAGAGACAGTTTGTTACACACATATTTGATTTGATTTTAGATTTAGATCTAAAATAGATAGATTTGATTTGGTTCCAAAATAGATATTTTGGACTTTTATAGTTTTGGACTTTTCGCTTAGAGAGCAAACTAACCTAAATCTATAAACAGAGGGAGTAATCTCTATTTTTTGAAATCAATCAAGTTGTATTCACAGAATATGCAGTTGCAAGTGAATAAGAAGTTTTCCACAGTTTGTGGGCAGAGAGAAAAACCATTGTCTTCTCTTTTTTTCATTCATATAATTTATTGTTATTGTATGGTGATAACAATCTTGTTCGTCAAGATTGATAGAAATTCATCATAGAAATTCATCATAGAAATTGGTGAATTTCCAACATCTAGTATCAAGAGCTCCGATTGAGCGATCAATGGAAGAAAAAGAAAATCAATGGCGATAAATTATGCAAGTGGAAATTTTCCATCAAATCTTCTGATTCTTAAAGGTGATAACTATGAGAATTGATGCAAACAGATGGAGGTTATATTTTGTTTTCAAGGTATTTGGAAACTTGTAAAATATGGATTAGAACCACTTAATGAAGACGCTTCAAAAAAAGAAGAGGCAGAATACAAAGAATTAAAGAAGAAGAATTATAAAGCTCTCTTTATAATTCACCAATGTGTCAGCCCAAACAATTTCGAAAATGTTAGTGATGTTGAATCTACAAAAGAAGCCTGGGAAATTATGAAGAAATCATTTGGAGACGCTGAGAAGGTGAAAGATGTGAGATTACAAACTAACAAAAGAACATATGAATTGCTTCAGATGGAAGATAGCGAAAGCATATCTGATTTCATCACTAGGGTTATGAAACTAGTGAATCAAATCAAGATTTGTGGAGAGACGTTAATAGCAAGAGCATTTATTTCGAAGATCTTGAGATCTTTGGCTCCGAAGTTTGATCATATGGTAGTTGCCATAGAAGAGTCAAAGGACATGACAACTTTGTCGAAGGAAGATCTTCAAGAGACGCTTGAATCTCATGAATAAAGAATGGCTGAAAGAGCTGCAGGAAAGTCGAAGAGTGGTGTGGCTTTGCTGGATCAATCAATAAAAGATAAGAAAGGCAAAGGAAAATGGTTCGACAACAAAGATAGAGGAGGCTACAAAAATTTGACTGGAAGAGGAAATCAGCACGAAGAAAATGTGTCAAATCAAAGAAGACCATACCAAGGCAACCAAAGAGGTGGTGTTGCAAATATAGAAAGAGGTGGTTGTCGAAAACCTGACAAGAGTCACATTCAGTGTTACAATTGTCAGAAGCATGGTCACTATTCTAGTGATTATCCATAAAAGCGAAAGAATCAAGAAAGTGATGTAAAGTTTGCAAAGTATGAAGAAGAAGAGATGTTGCTGATTATCACAACAAGAGATAAAGAAAAATTCAAGGATCAGTAGTACTTGGATTCAGGATGCTCAACACACATGTCTGAAAGGAAAGATTGGTTTGTCAACCTAAAACCCTCAATGAAGAACATGGTAAAACTCATAAATGACAATACTCTAGCAGCTGGAGGTATTGGAGATGTTCTGATTATGAGGAAAGATGGCAAAAGGTCAGTAATTTTTAATGTGTTGTTGTAGAGGTAAAATTATTGAGACTAAGCCATTAGATTGACTTAACTCGTACAGATCAAATAAAAATCACCACTGTGCTTTATTGTTTCCAAAAGAAATGGGAAAAAGAGCTAATAAACCAAAAAAAAGAGGGAGAGAATCTAGGTACGGGGGTTAGTTATAAAAAGGGAAGGTATTAACACCCTAAACATCTACGGTACTCCGCAAAAACCTCTTTGAAAATCTGTGTATTTTGGCTATAAAAGGTATATACAAAAAAATGAAATTAAGGAGATGAGAAAAAGAAATATTTTTT